CTTATATCTGATTGGCCAGGCCAAGTGCGTGGGCAACTGCCTTCAGCCGGATGGCGACTTGGCTGGTGAGGCGCAGGCTTCCAGGTGAGCCAAACAAAGCACTGAGTCCAGCCTTGGCCCAACGCGGGGTGAAGGCCGAAAGCAAGGTCCAACAGACTTGGACCTGCACTCCCATGGCCCTGGGCACAAGAGGTAGGCAACATGGAGGAGTTGGACCTGACAGGGCCGAACTGGGCACAAGCATGCTTATTGGCTCAACCCGCCCACTGCTTCTTGGCAATTCCCGAGCCTTTGGGAGGGCCGGGCAAGGCACCTGGCAGCCGACGGGCGAGATTGCGATCCAGGCACGAGACCGGGGGTCGGGGAGACCCGTCCGCAAAGAGAGCAGGCGGCATGGGGGCAGTTTTCAGAGAACAGACGTCACGAAAACTTGGACTGAGGCTAAGATGGGAGGTCGATGATTCGTTGGTTGTAATTTTCCAGCTTGGCGAACAGTCAGACGTTGGACAAACCGCAATCACGGGTGCCGGCCAGCAATGCTTCGCATTGTCTTGCTCAGCTGTTGCGAACAGAGTTCCAGGGGCGTCAACACACTGCTCAGACCCACACTGCTTTAATGATCAATGGAGCCCTGAAGGCTTATTTTCCCAAGATCTGCGGCTTGTTCTGTGAATTGGCCCAAAGCGGTCTTCGGGTGTAGCAATACCACATCCTGACGACGATCAGAACTGCAAGAGGAACAATCAGCCCAAGCCCAAAAAGTGCTCGCGCTGCCATGGGAAATGTTGCGGCCTGCCCAGGCGCCGTGCTGTCGATGTCGTCGGTGTTGGCGCGAACCAACTTTGCAAGCAGAGCCAACCAAAGTCAGACGCAAGCCAACAAAGTCGCTTTAGGGCGGTGCAATTGTCGTGTTGACCCCTGCAGTCAGACTTTTAAGTTCGATTGTCCAGCACAGTTGTTGCGCACTGCTGACATGGCGGGGGAGACAGCCCCATTCATCAAGGCTCCTGCCAGAGTCCCTTTGCAGTTCTCATTTGGACCAGAGGTTGTGCCAGTATCCCAATTGCTGCAGCAGTTTGCGGACGCGTGAACTGATTCTGGTTGCAGATTTTATCCCCCGCAGCTCATTGCCAGATGCGTGTTGTTGGAGCGCTGTGTACTGGCTGGCCAGCCGGGGCCAAGGCAGGGGCCGGATCTTAGCCCAAGCTGAGGTCACCAGGTTCCCCACATTTGAAGCCCACCGGATTCGGCATGCGGCAAATATTGAATGGCCACGATGCCAAAGCTTCGGACACCGCGCTTCCACCAAAGAAGCGCTTCGTGCATTTGTTTCGGCTCCCAGTGCTCTGAATCGGATCCCTCTTTCGGATGCGGGAAGTCCAAAGGAACCCGCTTGGTGACGACGACAGGTGACTTCGCCTCTGTGAGTTATGGTCTCTGCCGCTTGAGGCGAACTCTTCGTCTTCGGCTTTCCGCGGCGCGCGCAGTCGCGCGGCGACGGCGCCAGCGCCAACGGCGCCTACCGCGTCACAGGGGATGCTCGCTCCGCGAGAAGCACCGGCGAGGGGTTGTGGATGATGGCGTGTCTTTCGAGCGGTTTCTTTGTTTGATTTGTTCTTTGGGACTTGATGCGTTAGTTGGGTTGATCCTGCGAAATTGCGGGATCAAGCTAGTGACAGAGACTATTTTCAGCAGCATCGAATCGTGTCGTTGGCAGCGTTGCTTTTCCATCTGAGGAGCACCATGGGCGGCCAGTCTTCGCGCGGCTGGACAAAGGATGGGGCGTCTTGGGGTCTGCTTGCCGCGCATCCCAAGTGAAGCTCGGGGCGAAGTCACGTAAATGCGAGCAGATGTTGGAAAGGGGCCCAAGTTCCAAATGATCAACAAGGAAACCGAAAGTAAACTGCCACAAGCGCATTTCGAGGTGCCGATCTGATTTGATCAGGACCTTTTGTGTACTTCTGGGACGCCCGCGACGGCCCGAGCTGGCCGGGAGCTCGGCACGGCGAAGTGCTGAGTGCCTGGCCACTGCATGGACTGCAAAGAAGATGTCAACTATTTCATGCTTTCTGCGTGACTTCGGGGCTTACAGTCATCAAGATCAGCCCGAGTCTTTATGCAGGGAATCTTGCTTAAGGAGTGACTCCCGGCAAAACATGGATGCTCAATCCAAGGGTTTCGCCGGTCGCTTTCCCCTATATCCTTCATTTCATGATTCCCTCTGCAATTAGTGAATCTGGCGGGAGGATTGATTTCCATTTGAAAGCTTGACTGGTTTAGTGCTCATTGGCAGATATGTTGGCCGTTGACATTTTTTTATTGGGGATGATTGTCAATTCGGAACCATCCGGTGGACCTCTGTTTGGCATGGGGATTCATGTCCATCAAGCAACATGCATGTTTGAGGGAGGTCCGCATTGCAATCTATTTGCGGGTAAACATTCTTGTGTTGATAGCTGATGAAGCCCAGTTTGATTCAAGCTAAAATCAACCTGCACACATCGGGAGTGGGTATTCATTTCGGCAGGGGTCTTGGTATTCTTGTCAGTTTTACAGCAATGTGCAATGTTCTCCAACTTACCTGCGTTCACGGCAACTGAAACCAGTGCCATATTTTCTGAAACTCCAAGTCTTCCGTGATATGTCGAGAAGCAACGTCCCATTTGGGAACATTGAGACAGGGTGGGATCGATCGAGCAAGACAACGTCCTGTCTGGGAACATGGTGACAGCGCACCAGCCAAAAGCAAGGGATCCCACTGCGAAAGGCACCCTTATCAAGGGTGAGGTCGCACCCTTGTCACGTCGCTAAAAATTGCCCCAGCTGCTATGGAGTATGCGCAGCATTCCGCACACGTGCAGACACACACACATGAACTCATGTGTGGCGGAATCTCAGTTTTAAGCTTTCTTTTGCAAATTCAGGTTTCCTCCAAGGATTCTCCGCACTTGGCTGACTTGGGCTTAACGCAACATTTGCACCGAAAGCTGTCCGACTCGAAGATCCAGGTGCGGCTGGTGGCTGGGACCCATCGTGGGCGGCGCAGAGGTCTGGGGCTACAACCCCGAACCGGCGCGGGCCCCGAGGGCAGTTGCACTGCGCTGGAGTCGTTTGACTCCGATTTCGCAGCTTGTGCGAGGCTGGGGTAGACTTGGGATACATTTTACATTTCACCTGTGACTCAAAGGGAAGCAAACAATAGAATATACAGTCTATAACTGGGCCTAAGTCTAATCATGGAGGTGTGCGGGAGAAACGCATGAAGCAGACTTGAATCGTTTCACATGTCCCGTTTCTCTTGCAGTTTGCATGGAAAGCGGCAGGCTGGCAAAATGACGATACCCCACTGTACCATACTCCGGCATACGAATCTGGAAACAATCGGGGACTCACTAAATTGAGGTGAACAATTTGTTTAGCAGCATGATTTTTGGCTTTACTCGTAGCTACACACTCGGGGAAGGTTATCACATGTTTGCCTTGAGGCGATTCTCGTGAATCTTGTCATTTTGGATGCATGCAACAAGCTGGCCGAGGCGTTTTTCCCCGATGCACTGGCTTTTTGTTTCCGCGATAACAAGGCTTTTTTTGCCGAACGCTGTTCTATGGCACATGTCCCAAAGGCGTTTTTTGAAGAGAAAGGCATTTTTTGATGAAACTGAAATTTCTGTAGTTCCGGCAAAAAGCGGAAATTCTCCGCTCCAGGTTTTCTAGGGCAAACAGACGGACAGAAACAGGCATAAATAGATGGAAACAGGCGGAAACAGGAAGGAACACAAAAAGGAAAAGACGGAAACAGACATGCAGACAAACATACAGACATGCAGACAGACATACAGACACACAGAGATGGACGGAAAAGAGCATACATGGCATCACATCACATCACAGTTGCATATGACAACGTACGCCCAGCTGTCAGCCCAGAGGCTGCCCACTAACTAATTAGTCTTGGGCTCAACTAAGTGTTGCAAATGCATTTGTTTTCGTCCATTTGTAAAGCCGCACCTGCATTACCCCAGCCACAAGGAACCTGATTAGGCCCCTGGAACATCACGTTCTCTCAAACAGTAGTGGTGTGTATGTGCCCTATATATAACATAATACATGTAGACATACACATATACATATAATATACATATATACATATACATATACATATATACATGTGTATATATATATATGTACATATATATATATATACACGTATCCAGTGAAGGAACAAGAAGCGTCGTGTGTCGGTGTGCGGAGATTCGCGCCTTGAGATTCCTGGGCTTCAGGCCGCCCTGCCGCCCAGCAGCGGCTGGCGCTCCCCCTGGCAAGGCCCGGCCTCCGCCAGGATTCGGATGCCCGGAGCCCCGGAGTGCAGGCCTATGCTTTCAACGTAGGTGTGAAGTGCCTCTTCTTCATCTATTGGATCAGTTTGAGTGCATTAGCCTATCCTTTCAACCAAAGTGACTTAGTGACTTAGTGACTTAGTGCATTGAAGATGGAGCCACTGGGAGCTTTCCTGTTTGACTTGGCCAAGCGCCATGTGCAGTTCCACAACTTGTGCATGCGACGAACGCTGGCCGAGGACTCTGAAGGCCGGCGTCGCAGCCCGCTTCTTGGTCGGGCACTCGACTGGAGCGACCGTCGGAAGGCTTCCGGGTTAGCATTGGCCCTAAGGAGGTAGACCGCTTTAGGTCTGCTCAGGTTGCACAGCTCTTCAAAACATCGCACAGACACAGAGTCACATGCAACAGTTCGCCAACACGACTCCACGAACGTCAGTGCAGGAATGCGCGTGACATGCACACCTCCAGAGTGTCCATTGCCTTTAAATTTCAATTTGAGTGATCCTGCATGCTACCAGTACCTTTGGGCAAAGAGGTGTTGTGAGTCTGTCTCATCAACAGGTGGATCCTGATTCCTCTGCAAAAAGAAACACGCCTTTGACACCTCCTGAATCCTGAGCGGGTGTTCAGCGTATCTCGAAGTTTTCTGAGAGAGCACGGCGCATGAGGCTGCCGCGCCAGTCCAGGAGGAGGCAGACCAACCTTTCGTTGATGGTTTGGTGGTCTTGTGCTTGTGTGTGTGTGTGAGAGAGAGAGAGAGACTGAGTGTGGTGTTGTTTTACAAGAGAGAGAAAAAGAAAGTAGTTGTGTTGTTCAACAGATCACTACTCTGACTGCATGGCCTGAGAGCAGCGGACAGTTTTAGTCAACCGCATCGACCCGAACTGGCACCCTGGTCTTTGTTGTTTTCTCTTGTGCCAGTCATGTCGAAGGTTATGTTGATCTTAGCTAGATTCGAAAGTCCCAAAGAAAGAATGGGCAACATCTCCAAAGCCCAAGGACTTTGTCCGCTAAACAAGTATGAGCACTGGTCAAGTCACGTTGTCTGAAGCATCCAACAGCTCAACTCGATTTGTTCGCAATTGTTCCTTCGCCGGTCAGGTTCCAGAGTGGCTTCGGAACCCCGGACACTGCGAGGCCGGTTTGGGAGGTCTGGGCCCAGATGGCTGTGGTCAAAACGGTTTTGGTGGATCCCATTTTGGTTGGTAGGTGAATTTACCAGCCATCTTAGAACCTATATTTTGGACCCATTTTAGTCGGGAGTTTAGTGGTTGGATTGGGATGTTCACTGGGGGTATTTGGATTTTGACCCATGGCCAGATTGAGATCGTGACATGGTCTTTCCAAGAAGCCACCAGCAGCTGCGACAGGCCATCAGAGAGGAGCCCCAGCTGCTGCAGAGCTGCTCCATCTGCCTGGAGCCGCTCTGGGATGCCGAGCCCAGCCGCAGACTTGGCTAGAAGTGCCAAATCTTCGCATGCCCCACTCCAGTTACTCTGGTGGCAGCGTTCTTTCGTTCTTGACTTTGGGGCCAAGAAAAATGTCTGGATCCCGCAGTTGCGACTCGGCGACTTTTTCCAGCAGGTCGCAAGGGTTTTGGAATCTGCCGAGGCGTGTTCGTGGTGAACCTGCGCCGGCTTTGCCCCCACTACTTCTGCAGCAGATGTGCCAAGAGGCGAGGCCATAGCGCGCTTGGGCCGTGGTTTCAAGGCAATCAACATGACACCAAACATTCGGAGGGGTCATTAGCGTTGACAAGTACTACCTTTGATGCAAACATGTGGACGGATGAAATAATCCCCAGCTCACCGCAATGAAAGCCACTTGCGTCCAAGCTGTTTGGCAACCTAAAGTTCATCGCATTTGGGAGACAGGTGAGTTTGACTACCATCTGCTGTGGGATTGGCAAAATGCTGACCTCTGGACACTCAAAGGCTCAAAATGCCTGTGGTTGTCAAAACCAATGGTACATTTGGTTGGTAGGTGAATTCACCACCCATCTCAGAACCTACTCTAGTGGATTTGGATTGAATCGGATGTAACCGCTAGGGGCTAACCGATTTGGATTTGACTTTAGCCCATGGCTCAACAAATGACACCCGGCTTTGGTTGACACACGACCGGCGGGCCGCCCGCGATTCTTCCACCAGGATCGTGGTGGAGCAAACCACCATGGGCCTGCAGAACTTCAAGGAGGAGCGGACTGGAGCTCGCGAATTCGGAGTTTCCGGATAGAAGAGTGCTACAAGGCTAAAAAAAATGAAGCTCCTGCAACCAAAAGAACACGTGAAATCCACGGAAGAAGCGCAAGTACTACAAGGGCCACTAAAAAGAACCTAGGAAAAGAACAGCTGAAATCCACGGAAAAGCGCATCCGAGCCGTTTTATGGATTGGTGGATTGCGGCGTGGATGGATGGGATCTGGCCTTTCCCCTGCGAAGGAAACGTGTTTTGAGCTGACAGGACCAGCGAGTTGGCTCCGTGGCAGCTTGGCCCGATGCAGTTGGCCTTTGCCGTCGGCGCAATGCTGCCAGGGATCAGTCCGTGTTTAAGGGATACACGTCGACGTGTCGTGTCCGCTTTTCCCACCAGTTGTGCAGGTAGGCCTTGCCATGCCTTGCCGCACCGAACAGAAAGGGCACCCGGCGTGATAGGCAGTGATTTCGGCGAGTGAGGGATGCTTTCACCAGCTGTTTGCGTTGCAGGAGACACATGGTTCACAAGGCAACGTGTCAGGGGCAATATCTCTTGTAGCACTTGAGGCGCTTAGGGAAATGCTCGGGCAGGGCAACCTCCTTGCAACAGCCCCCGGGTTTACCAACGAGCGACCGCTCAGGATGGTCTGGCGTCCGTGCTGGACGCAGAGGGCAACCGTTTGGGCGACCTCGCGGGGGCGCTCAGAGGTCGAGTCGAAACGATCTGAAGCCATGGGAAGTGGGAAGCCTCAACCTTGCGCCCTGCGAGCGCTTCGCCGTGTCGCGGCATGGGTTCCAACGACAGGTGTGGGGCGAGAGCGGGCAGCGGCTCAGCGACGGGGAGCTCTTCCTAGTCCTGACTCAGCGCCCCGGATGCGTTCAGACAGCCCGGCTTGACCAGCCTGAACACCCCCGCTTTGGGGAAAAGACTTGGGGTATTCTTTGAGAGCAACCATGCCTTATGTGCGGCATGAGGACTTGGGAACCAAAGCGTGCAGATTGGCGACCCAGCGTGGCGTAGCTCAACTCCATTTGCGGATGCATGTGTTTGTTGCCTGTGACTCCCTTGCGTTACGGGCATCTTGCAACCTAGCCGCCGTCGCGGCACAGATTCTGGAGGGCCAGCTGTCGAATCAAGCAACCAAGTACCTACATTGCAGGTCTTGTTGTCTTGTTGCAACCGGTTCGATGCTCAGAGTTTGGTCTTCCCCGTCAGCCCGTCCACCGCTTGGCCCCGAGCCGGGATCGGATCGAGATCGAGATCTGAGGCTGGAGCGGCTCGTCGAGCTGGAGGCCTGCAAAAAAAAACAAAAATCGGGGCGAGCGCGAAGGAAGGTTCAGTTTTTTCCCAAAAATACGGCTGGCTGTCTCCGGTGAGGGAGTTTACATGGCGGGTAATCTCAATGCGTTTTGCTTTTGTTCTTTGTACACCAAGCACATGTTCTAGTAAGTTTACATGCAGGTGTCTCGATCCTTTTGGCTTTTGTTGCGTTGTATGCGCCAAGCATATGTTCTAGTGATCACCCTGAGGGTTCGTTTGATGCCTATGACCATCTCAGAGCCTGGTAGGGGCAGATCTTACACACCACACACACACACATCCTCCGCACACACACACACAGACCTACACACATGCACACAACAAAGCATAACATGTGGGCTTAAAGGTGTGCATGAATGGCCAAAAGGCAGTATACCAAATGCCCTGCGGCAAAATTCACACGTTGCATAGGCGAAGACTGCCTTAGCCACCAAGAGAGTCCTCTGTTTGTACGGCCCATCGCTGCATCACAGAAGCGTGCGCCTGCCTTGAAACATATTCCACGTTGACAGACAACTTGGTCATCGGGGAAGGGCAGAATTCCCATACACGTTCAATGACGGAACCGCCTCAATGACGGAACAAATGACCAGTTTGGGAGAAAGCGGCATATTGTGTATTCGCCGCGGATGACGGAAATGTAGAAGTTTGGAGCGAGCGGCATATTATGGCTTCACCACGGACACAGGCATCGAATTCTCTTGGAAGCTCCAGGTACCTCCTCTACGAAAAATCAGCCCAAGGGCCATTGCCAGCGCCAAAGTCGCACGACCCGACCCGACCATACGAGGTGGGCATGGAGCTCCGCGGCAAGGACTCGGACGCCTTGGTGCTCCGCCAAGGCGGGTGAGGTCGGATTCGCGGGAGAAGACGAGGGAGAAAGCCCACTGGAGGTTACGTTCGGATGCAAATTTGAGGCGTCAGGTTATGACATGTTGCTTGCCCTTTGGAGCTTCTTTCGGGTTTTTTTCCTGGAGCCCGTTTTTGCCTGATCTTCCTGGAGTCCCTTCCAAGCATCTACAGACCAGAAGTCTTCAGTTTTCCGTTACTTGAAGCGGCAGGCGCGCTCTTCGGCTGCCTCCTCCATGCACAGCGCTCGCTTCGCCGCTACACCGCGCAGGAGCGGTTGGGTTTCGGGTTCCTGGATCGGGGGGATGAATCCGGGCCAGTGCAAACCCGCAAACCAAGAATGTCCAGTCTTCAAGGGTGGCCCTTCTCGTTTTCCCGGGATTTGAACAGAATTCTCCTGGCAGCATCCGATGCCGTCTCTGTTGCGATGTTTGGATGCTTGAAAGCAAAGCCAAAAGGCAAAAAGCCTGAAGCAAAGCCAAGCCTAAAGCAAAGCCCTTTGTTGGACCTCTTTGGCTTTGCTTTTTTCAGCAAACGAAAAAAAGAAGAAGCGAGCAACCCAAAAGCGGCGCCTCAGCGGGGTCTCCACGGTTTGAGATGCGACCTCAGGAGCTGGACGCTGAGGGCTTGGACGGCGCGATGCTGGTGGAAGGCGCGGGAAAGCTGGAAGTACAGAGCACCGAGCTAGGGAAAGGTTCGGGTTTGGAGGTTTCTGTGGAATCAAGAGGCCTGGCAAAAGGTTTATGTGAAAGCCTCCATTCAGAAATCAATCCGAGCCGGTGTGCCCAGGCAACCTGGAGCCTTTGCGGCGAAGGCCGAGGGAGAGAACCGAGTTCACAACTTACTCGGAGCAAACCGCAAACCCCAAACCCCAAACCCATCTGAGTGACAATCAAAACTTCGGGTGAAGGTTAGTAAGGGACGATCCAAACCATAACAGCTGCGGAATCCCGCCTTCTGAGTTCTTTACATGCTTCTGGGTCGATCATTCGGGTTTTGATCATGGCTCATTTGCGCAACAAGCGGCGATTTGCGCAGGTGTGTCGTCTACCGTGGGGGCGACGTGGTGTGCTGGCACTGTCCTCGCTGCTCCCTGGAGCGCCTGGGCCGTGAGTTGGGAGAGTTTTTCCGTTTCCCATGCACGGGACAGCCCCGTTGGATTGTTGGAGCAGAAAGGTCCCCAGTCAACCTTACAGCTGAAGACGCACCCCCCCTCCCCACGTGCTGGTTGCTTCTTATCTTGTGGCCATGTTTCAATCGTCATGCCCTACAGTCAAACGAATCACCAAAGGCGTTGTGTGGGATTTCAAAAAGGACAAGATGTTGAACATATGTTACAACCACGACAAAGGGGAGGTGCTTTTCACCAAGGGCAAACACACCATGCAACAATAGTATAGATTTGTACACGTGTTTCGTGGAAGATTCTATTTACCGGGTGCCGTTCTTTGATGGCCGCCTAGCGGTGTCCCATCGTGACATTGTCGGGCAATTCCATTACACAAGACATATACCTGTACTGCTTGCAACAGACCAGGGTTCGAGCAATTGGCTGTAATTTTTGTTTGGTCCGTGTTTAAGAAGTGTGCGGCAAAAAGCATGTTCCACGAAAAGCAAAGTTTGACCCAGTGGAATCATTTGCAAATACTGCTGGCCCTTCGCATAAGAGAGCTGGAAACAGCTGATGCATATATTTGATTCCAAGGACCTCCAGCATACCTTTTAATACCTCGACTCTCCCATGATGACAAATGCCTTTCAAAGGGTTCCGGGTATACTGAGAAGGTGTGTGTGGGGGTTCTTGGATTGATGAGATGAGTCGATCACCCTGAAAGGAATGCACGGCGCAAGACTTTGAGATGAGGATGGGCGTGGGTCATTTCTGGGGCATTATGTTTTCCGCCTTGCTATAGCCGTTGCTGACGTCCCCCTGCGCCCGCATCGTGCCGGTATCCAAGACGCACGCCATCGCACGCCCACATGTGCACGAAGATCTCAGTTGGGAGAGTCGAAGAGGAAGTGGGACTAGTCTCCGGGCTTCGGGAGAAGTGCCCTGCTCACTCGCAGCATGGGGAGCTGCTTCCACCATAGCGGGCTTGAGAAGTTCATGGCGGAAGAAAACAAGCTTTTCATCAACATGCGACACGGACGTGAGCCTCAGCGGCGTGTATTTGCGGCCCAAGCGGATGGGTTTGTACGGCCAAAATTGTGGCCGGTCTCAGAGGAGATGGTGGGCCAGAAGTTTGACGTGTGAGGGAGAAACCAAAGACTGCAAGCCATGCTGGCCTCAAACTTGCACATGCATAATTATGGCTTCAGAAGTGCAGATGTTACTGGACGTCTTTGTATGGCAATCTGGAGGAGCTCAGGCCATGCTTCAGGCGAAGCAAGAGGGCCAGCGTAGAAGTTGTTCAAAGTTCGCATTGCGCTCACGCGAAAGCTTCCGTGCTTCCCACCAGAACCCGTTGCTCCTTGAAGGTTCTCGCGTTGTTGAAATTGATACTTTTTGGTGTTTGCCTCTGCACCGTTACAGAACTTCAGTTTGGCGTTCTGCCACCTCTCCATCAGGCGACCTCAAGAAGTCTCAAGTCTCAAGTGCCTTCATCCTGGCAGCTTTCCAGAAGCAGGTGACATCGTTTCAATCGACGGCTTCCATCGAAAGGTGCCAGAACCGCTGCTTAGGAGTCCTAGAAGATTGGCTGCTCCGCCTGTGCAAGGAGACTGGGTGCTGTTAACAAAAGAAACATCAAGACAGGAAACACACTTGTGCTGCCAGTTGACTAAGGCCTGTTTTCCAGTGGCCAGCGGCACGCGGGCGGCGTTCGCCTTTTCCCACTGTGTTCCCAATTGAAATGATCAACACCCCTGCTCTTTCGCAGACAGCGGGCAGGGAAAGTAGGACTTGACTAGCCCTGCCGCGAGACACTAGGATCGTGTCGGGGAGAGATGCTCTGCATTTTGTGGCTTCATTCTGAGGTTGCCGGCACTTGACACCTATGGATTGCGCGTCTTTTCTGTTGGGACTATTTGCCACGCAATGCATGGGGATTTGTCCCTGCCTGGCTCAGGAATTCATCTAGCGACTTCCGGTGCAAGCTCTGTGACTTGACTCAATCTGGCGCGCTTTGTTTGGGTCTCAGGGTCAGAAAACGCCTCGTTCGGGTCCCAAAAAAGCCGCGCATGGTGGTTGGACGCAACGCTGCGGATTTGCTGCCGCCATTTTGGTGAAACTCAAGAGCTTCGGCTTGGCACCTTGACAGAGGTCAGCCCGGGCAAGGAAACCTTTTCTGGGGTCCTGGATCGCCAGTTGCGGTTTTCCTTTTTGTCCATGCACATTTTACCCCAAACACCAGCAACAGTGACTGAAAACAGCAGCAGCTCGGCTCTCCAGGGGCGGTTTTTAAAGGATCAAACGGTTGCGGCGATGTGAATCCCAAGCTTCGGCTGGACGCGCCCGCCGTCCTTTCTCTGAGGCGGCGCTCCGCCCAGCTGCCCGCGGGAGCTGGGGGTTGCGGGTCGGAGGGAGGGGAAACGGGGGGAAAAGGGGCCTGAAGGCCTGGGGCATCTGTCGGAGTCCATCTTTTGGGCTGGTGGTCACAGGGAAAGCCAAAAGAAGGCCAAAAGAAGGCCAAAAGAGGCCCACTGTTTCTTTGTCCATGTCGAGGCAGCTGTTGTGCGCGGCGCACAAAGAAAGAGCCAACATGTTGGGTACTTTGCCCGAAGGTTTCCTTCTTTGCCCGTTGTGCTCGGGTTAGCTTTCGGGAAAGGGACCTCGAAACACCTTTTGCAAGGAGCTGCCGGCACCGAGACCTTTGGGTGTCCACGGAGTGGCGGCGCTGAGGAGATGGCTCGAGCGCCAAAAACTGTTGCAAAAGCAGCTGGGGTTACGGTTGCGCTGGCCTCATGATTTTACCATGGTCAAAGCCACCGTCACCCCCGTTCGTTGGTGGGTTAAAGGGAAACAAACCCCATTTCTGGGTTTGATAACTGCCAGAAACCGCCAAAAAAATGCCCCTGTTACACGGGTTTTGGTCGCGGTTTCCACCAAGGTGCAAATTTATTTGGGGGCCCGTTGTTTGAGCCACGGCGCATTTGGCGCCTTGTAGCTTTCTGGCCATTTGGCGGTGGGTTTGAATCAAGCCACCTGGATATGGGCCGCAGGTTTTAGTCCTTTCCGTGTACAGGGGCAAGCCACTTTGGGGTCGCCCTATTGTTGACACTGCCAAATCAGGTTTCTGGTTTCTCCCTACATGTCGCAGGCCGCCTTTAAAGGTGTCGTGACTCGCGTGATGTGTTGAAACGCTCTCCAGCGTGTACTTTGGCCAAGCCGGTGGCTTCAAGTTCACTCCAGCCCATGGTCTCTGAAAGGTTTCTCGGAACAGCCAGGAAAAGAGATGAAGATGTGGCGTGCCGCGCGACTTTGCTTCTCACATCCTATACGCACGGGGATTACAAGATCCGGCGGCGTCCCCGATCTCTGCATGAAAATGCCTTGCAGACTTGTTGTGTTTCACGCGTTGACCTGGGGTCCATACGCACTGTGCCGCTCATCGGAGCAGTCTCGCGCCGGATGGACAGGACCCGCTTTGCACTGCGGCCGCAGCTGCATTGGGCCATGCCGCTGCAATGACTCTTGAGCCGCAGTTGGTGGCCTTTTGCTGCCTCCGCCCCTTTTTCAGGGCATGTTTTGTGATAGAATTGTTCGGATTGCATTGAGAGTAGTGGAGTTCTCAACTGTTCAGGTTGTGTCCATTGATGAGCTAGTCGGAAACTAGTTGAACTGGAAGTCAGGCACTGCCGTAAGCCTGCGAATCAGACACCTCCCATGAGACACAGAGATGGGAGTTTGTGGTTCCACAACCACCTTTGTCTGAAGGGGCTATATATGAATTCAACTTGCACGGCAAGCATGTTCTCGCTGACAATGTGAGGAACAGCACTTGGACTGTGAAACGCCGTTGCCTTGTTGCCGCTCCTTTTCCTTTCCATTTTTTTGCAAAATCCAGCAAGCGAACCAAACCAAAAGCCAGGAACCGGACACACGCCGCAGCCGCCCATTTCCCGCGCACCCGGTGCTCTGCAGGTCCTTTGTGCCGTCTAGGCGGCACTGCCTTCGTGGCGCACATGCCGAAGCTGCGTGAGGCGAGCTTCAGATCGGTGCCGACGGCACTTTGGCACTTTGAGTTGGCTGGTGCCGGGGTTCTTGTTCAAGTTGCACGACGTGAAGGCAAGAAACGCGGTGTGGGGAGTCCAAAGTGCAATATATTGGTTATGCAGCAATCGCCTCTAGAAATTGAGCTTTTGCGCATCCAAGTTCCCAACTTCAATTAATGTCTCGAATCAGCCGAGCGGGCGCAATGCACCGCTCCGCCTCGTCGGGCTCATGGCTCACTCCTCTGTCCCCACCCTGTTTCCTGAAAACACGAGTCATGGCGCAGAGCACGCGTTGCATATCGCCGGCTTGGCATTTCTTCGGATGCCCGAGAGCCGCTGTTCAGGCGCCGGCGGAGTGGTTCAGCATGGTGTCCAAGGGCCAGGACCAGATCAGCCTGCCGGGGCCACAGCCTCTCGCGCCCACAGCCCTTGAGAGCGGGGAGGGCGCGGTCTGCAGATTGCCGTGGGAGATTGCCGTTGTGTGAGCTGTGGTCATTTCTCCCAATGGCTACATATATACGTCACCCACAGCCCAAACTGCACAGAGAATCAGACCAAACGGATTCAATATCTTGGGCCCGCTGATCTGAAGCTCCGACTACACTTCGGAAGGAACCCACTGTAAACGCTTTTCGGGCTCGGGGCGATTTTCTTTCTGGTTTGCCCAGGCGTGGCTTTGGCAAGCCAAAAAGACAACTGAAGCCAAACTATGGGACTTGTAGCTAGCCAAGAACTAACTTAAGCAATCTATGGGCCGGGTTTGACGGTAAATTCCCCATGATTTGGAAGATCCAGCGGGCTTCTTTACTGGAAACGCTGGGCAAACCGTACGACCGATCCATTGGATCCCATCTCGGATCGATCGGATTCGGATTTAGGTCCGAGCTCGCCGCGGGGCTGGCGGTGGTTCTGCCCCTTAGCCCGGAACGCCCGGCAGCCCAATGCGTGGCCTTGAGAGTCAGCTGTGGTGCATATATATATATATATATACACATGTACATATATGTACATATGTAAGTGTGTATATGTGTATATCTATGTGTGTGTATATGTATATGTGCATATGTATGGGTTTTGTGGGAAGCAATTCCTTTCTGGGGTTTTACTGGGACCCTTAGAGGGCCCTCACCCAATGTTCCTTCCTGTAGCAAAAACAAGGAGCCTGGTGTGGCATGCGACCCCTCGGATTCTGATCTAGTCTGTCAAACCAAAACCTGTGACACGCAGCCGCGGGTTGCCAGCTCAAACAGCCCAATTTGGCGGCAGTGACACGCTAAGTGCTTGCTTGGCAAGTTTGTTCGTGACGTCCAGTAGACGTCCCCCGTTCGGAAGCTGCACGAGTTCACATCTCCGCCTCTTGGGTTCAAGCCACAGATTTGGCCCATTCCTCGGGGTTGTTTTTCCCCGCGAGCGCCGGATGTTGGCGAAGCCGTTGGTGTTGGGCGCCTGAGGCCTCCAGCAGGAGCTGCAGCGGTTCCCGGCGCCCATGAACTATGCAGCCTTTGTGGCCGAGGTGCGCCCACGTCCTCAAAACCGATTCGGGTAGGTTAGGGACCATCCCCTTGCCTTAATAGCTGCGGAAGTCCGCCTTCTGAAAATTCTTGAAGCATGGGTCTGGGAGTACGACCCATTTTAATGAAGGGTTTTGAGTATGACGCAATTGTCAATGTCCTCATGCTTCAACTTTCTCAACCTGGGACCGTTTTCGGCCGTTTTGCAATGACTTGAAAGCCGCTGAGTGTCGAGCTCTCTTTTGGGAAGTTGCTCGCCAGCGCCGTTTGCATCGGAGTGCAAGCTTCAAAGCGTTGAACTTCGGTGAGGCGGCCGGCACAACTAGAGGAGTCGTGTCATGTTTTGAGCGCACACTGTACACGCTCGTAGCCAAAGTCAAGTGGCCATGGGTCAAAATCCAAATCGTACCCGCAGTGAACATCCCAATCCCCACTAAAATAGGTTCTAAGATGGGTGGTGAATTCACCACCCCAAACTGGGATCAACCAAAACGGTTTTGACAGCAGCCAAGGTGAAGGTTCGCTTGAGGCATCGCTACGCATCCGTCCCAGGGCGGACCTGCGCACTGGGCCGCCGGGCAGTTGGCCGCTCTGACTGCCACCGGGAGGGAGCCCGGCATCTGCGACGCCGTGTGAGCGGCCCAGCCACACGCAGCGAACCCGTGAGAGTCATGTTTGGAGGGCTGCAACGCTTCAAAACGTGCTTGTTTTGGTCGGGTGTACTTGTTTCAGGTTTGCCTAGACAACGTTAGTTTACCGTTTCTTGATTTCGATTGTGTGAATTATGGTAGTTTGCGCTTTCATTGAGTCAAGGATGCTATCGTCCAAATGGCAATGCCATGCGAGGTAGTGATTGGTACAGGGCGGGGAAAGGCAATGGACAAAACCTAATCCAAACTGATGTCAAAATCGAGCGCGCCGTAATTTGCATTTGGCAACTTCTCTTTAAGACTGGCTTGGGACTGGCCTGGTTGCTTTAGTAGAGATTTTGCTGTTAAGAATTGCCCAAAACTTGCCCAAATATGCCCAACACAGAAAAGAAAAGGCAATATCAATTGCTTCGTATTCCTTACCCTTGCCCTTTGTCAGAACAGGGAATGTTGATATTTTACAATTGTCCAGCGACGCAAAGGCATCTCCCCTTGATGGCATGGCATGTAGGACTCGTTCTTTGTGTGCAAAGTCTCAAAGCACGGTTGCTTGCTTTGTGTGTGTGATCTCTGAATCTGTTTCTTTACGCAGGCCTGGGTTAAGCCTCGTGACAGGTTTTCCCAGGCCAACCTTTCGGCTGGCACGATCTTAGCATTGGAAGGGCCCATCTTCCAGCAAGGCCCTTCCTTTCCCGCTCGCCGGGGTCTGACACTTTGGGCTGGAAGACTAGCTGTTTGGTGGATCCATAGTTCATGGTTGTTGTTGGGAAACATTTGAATCATTTTTGCTTATTGTGGTTTAGTGGTTGAAATCCAACCACTCAACTGCTAAAATTGATTTTTTGCTCCCCTTCCAACGTCAACCAAGAGTTGAGCTGCAGCTGGCCCCCTGGCAATCTGAAGCACTCGAGGGCGAAAGCAACGTTTATTCTGCTTTGCGTGGTTGAAGCGCGGTCTCTCAAATGGCCATGGGTCAAAACCCCGTACACCCAGTGTACATCCCAATCCCCACTAAAATCCCGATGGGTGGTGCACCAAAATAGAGTAAAGTGGGTGGTGATTTCACCCACCTCAAAATGGGATCCCATTGGTGTTGACAACCACAGCCAAATCAGTACCAACGACCCAGCTACTTTCCCAGCCCATCGACGCACCATTTTCGCCGTGGGCCTTTAGCCTGCAGAGAAAAGCGCATCGCCGGAAAAAGAAGATGGGAGCGTGGAGTTCGGGATGAACCAAGATCTGCATGTGAGCCATCGTGCTCAAAACCGATTCGGGTAGATGACTCGGTTAAGGGACAATCCCCTTGCCATAAACAGCCGCGGAATTCCGCCTTCTGAACATCATTTACATAGTTCTGGGCTGTGCCCTCGGACTTCGAGAGTTAAACGAACTCCTGGCTCTGGGGCTTTCTGCGCGTGAGTGATTTCGGGAGGAGGCAAAAATCTGTCGAGGGCATGAGGTTCAGAAGATGGCGTCAGAGAGCTGAGGGACCAGAACCCAAAACCAAAGGGATCCCATTTTGGGTTGGTGAATTCACCACCCGTTTTAGGCTTCCCATTTTAGTGGTTGGATTGAATCGGATGTTTACTGGGGGCAAAATCCGACTTGGATTTTGCCCCATGGCCACGTCTTTCTGCGTGTCTTCACTTCGTTTCCCGTCAGGGGCCAGAGGAGGAGGCCCTAGCAGCTTCTGCCTGGGAGGCGGAGCATTTAGTCGTCAACTTGACGTCGGTTTCCCAGTGATCCTTTGTCAGCCTTGGTGATTCCCCTCCCAGAGAGTCCCATTACCTTCTACAAGTAGGTACTTAGACCCTTTTGTACCCCCCAGAAGCCATCCTCATGAGGTACTTAGACCCTGTATTTCTCAGTCGCCTGCGAACAAGCAGTCAAAAGCCGATCGCCTCTTTGCCCCACATGAGCCGTGCCGCTTTCTTTTCGGCAGTCCCATGCTCTTTTTTTTCTGGAGCGCGGAGGCCTTTCGGGAGCAGTACACCGGTGCGGCGGAGCGCGGTATGTGAGCCAAAGCTTTCAGTCTGAGGAAGTTTATTTGAAAGAAATGGTTTCGCCGGTCCAGCTTCGCGTTCTTTGCTTCTCCAACTTAGGCTGATCTCATCCATGCTGGAGACTCGAAAACCAATCTTGCTCACCTGGAGCTGCTGTGTGGTGTATCCTTTCCGTACTTCTACGCACGCGAACTCCTGTGAATATCCTTTGCACCAGCGGAGACATGGCCTGAAAGCATCGAGGCCTACCGGCTGATAGCCCCCTTTCTACGTGCTCTATTTCTTTTTCCTCTGCGTGTTTGTGTGGCATGATCGGTGTGATTCAACTTCCAGCTGGCTGAGCCGAAAGTCTAGGGACTGACAAAAAAAGCGTTTGGCAGCAAGTGTCCATATATGGCTGTGGCTCAAAAACCCGGTGCCAAAATGGAACCCTGGTAAGTGGAAACATGGACCAACACCTGCGTAACCCCTCCTGTTTAATTTTGAGCCACACCCATATGACCGTCCACTGAATGGTCGTTGTTGAGAAGAAGACCGGCGGCATGTGCTTCTCCCCGTGGAAGGCCGAAAAAGCTCCAGAGGTGCCAGAGCTGGAGACACGGTGCAAGCGACGCTTGAGCTGTGGCATGCCCCTTTGTCCGATGAAAACACAGGGGCCCCAGAGTCCGCAGACTGCGTCCCCACGACGGAAAGCACTTCCGAAGCAGCGGATGGTGGTCTGAGGTGCGGACGCAAAGCAGTTCCTAAGCAGGTGAGCTGGGGAGTCGAACAGCCCAGATGAATGGGAGCAGCAACCCGTGCTTGTTCTTCTCCCGTCGCGGAAGAATACCAGGGACACTTTCAAGGCGATCGTCTGGAAAGTTCTCGGCACGTGCGATCCAGATGCCCAGCGTTCAGACTTGCAACGCCTCGCCGGCGACGAAATCCTGAACTGATCCTTGGCGCACTGGATTTAAGGAGCCATCAGCTAAACGACCATAGGCAGAGTCAAAGGATGTGCCAGAGTACCCTGATCTGAGGCTGAATTGATTTTTCACATCACATGCAGCATGCCACGCACCGATCAAGTCCGATTGAGGCATCTCCTGGCCCATGCGTGTATTTAAAATGCCGGAGGGGTTGGCATGCTGCTCTCTGTATTTGGCGCGCCTTGGCAAAGTGAGCTCCATCATTTGTTCCCATCTTGCGCTGGAAAGAAACGGCTTGTCCTTTTCCGCGAAGCCACGAGCCGGAAAGGAAGAGCTCCTTCACGCCAGGTACATGGACACGCCCGTGGCGGAGAACGACGTCAAGTACAGGTGGAGGCGCGGGCCGGCGGCTCCGGCAGCCGGCAGCCCACGGGCACAGGTCGTTTTGCGGATTTCAGCGGTTCCCGGACGTGAGCCAGTCGGGCGCTTTCTTATCTGTTGCAAATGGATTGCAAGGCACATGCGCGAGATCAGAGGGTGGCTGAGTGCAAGGTGCAGTCCATGTCAATCTGCTTCAGACTGTATCATGGTGTATATATTATATTATGATATTGATTTAGACGGCATGTGCTTCAACACAGCTCGGGGATCTCAAGGACAGCTCCCCAAATCTCCAGGCCAAGCCATAGATTGCGACGTGCCAATTGGCCTGCCACTGGAGGCGCCTGCGCGACACCTTCGGCGTGTCCTCGCAAGAGGCGGCCGATTTGGCTTTTCTTTTTTTTTGCGTGTGAGCATTCCCAGATTTGGCGGGTGAAGAACAAAAACGGGTCAGGCGTGCAAACGGCTGGCAAAGGCCTAAGGAAGCAAGCCCTTGAAACTGGTTGTCTAAGCTGGCGGCGTCAATAATGGCCCCAGTGCTTTGACACGTTTCTCTCGCGTATCCACAGCTGCTAATAAACACGCTCAGGTGCATCCGCAGTTGCTGCACCCAAGCTGGCACAAATGAGAATAGGCACGCTCACGAGCATTCATAATCGCCATGGACTTCCACAGTTTCAGTGGAATCCATGTGCCAGCATGGGTGCAGCGGTTGTTGCGCGTGAGCGTGTATATTTATTTTCATTTGTGCCAGCGTGGGTGCAGCGAAGTGGATGCGCGCGAGCAGCCACCGCGCTTGGGCTGGGTGCTAGGGGGCGTGCAGTTCGGGTGCTGGCGCTGCTCCTTCTTTTGCGGTGTTGTTTGAGGTGCTGTTGACGGCACCGGCGCATGTTTGCGAGATTGACGGCAGGGTGCTGGGATTCATGCAGTTTGGAGTGCTGGTGCCGGCTGTGGGGCGCTGGCATTTGTTTTGCAATATTGATGGCGTCATGCAGCTTGGGTTGCTGGCGCCGGTGCTATTTTCGGACGCTGTTCATATATACGCTCACAAGCATCCACAATCGCTTGCTCCCATGATGGCACAAAAATATGATAAGCACTCTCACCCACGCCCTCAACCTCTGCATCCACGCTCGCACAAATGAAAGTACACATGCCCACGCGCATCCACAACTGCTGCACCCATGCTGGCACAAATGAAAATATACACACTCACGCGCATTCACTTTGCTGCACCCACGCTGGCACAAATAAAAATATGCACGCTCACACGCATCCAGAACCGTTGGAGCCATGCTGGCGCAAATGACAACAAACACGTTCACACGCATCCACAACCGTTGTAGTCATGCTGACATAAATGATAATACACATTCTCACGAGCATCCACAATCGCTTGCACCCACGCTGGTACAAATAAAAAAAAGGCACGCTCACGCGCATCCACAACCGTTGCAGCCATGCTGGCGCAAATGACAACAAACACGTTCACACGCAACCAGAACCGTTGTAGTCATGCTGACATAAATGATAATACACATTCTCACGAGCATGCACAATCGCTTGCACCCATACTGGCACAAATGAAAATATACATGCCCACGCCACAACAGCTGCACCCACGCTGGCGCAAATGACAATAAGCACGCTCACGCACATCCACAACCGCTGCACCTGTGCTGGCACAAATGATAATTCACACGCTCACGTGCATCCACAACCGCTGCACCCATGCTGGCACAAATGAGAATTACACAAATGATATTGAAAGACAGGCGGCTAATGTCGCACCAGCAGCAAGCAGCAGCGAAGATTGTGCAAAAGCCTGTGCGCCGTAGCAAAGGTGCTCTTTGGAAGGCGAACGGCCTAAGAATCGTAAAGCAGAAGCGGCCGTGCTGCTGCACGGTTTTTCTCACATAAGACGATTAGGAGCATGTGCAATGCTGGACAGGATGCTGTAAAACGCGCCGCTTCAGCAACACGCAGGTTCCGGAGACGGGTCAAAACCCTAAGGGTCACTAACACCGCCGGCGCCTTGTTTAAGGCGCCGGCTCCAAGCTATGGGGCGACGCGTTCGAGAAAGAAAGAAAGAAAGAAAGAACTACAGACCGAGACAAAGGAAAACAGCTAAAGCAGAGACACAAAGAAAGCAAGAAGAGAAACGAAGAAGGAGAAATGAAAAGGACAAGGAGGATTGAGAGAGCTATAGTTCTCATATGTTGAATCTTTTGCCCACCGGCTTCGCCGGCTCCACTAGCATAGACCCCAGATAGCGAAAACAGGCGGATGATTACAGCGCCCGCGAAGAGCGCGGCAGAGCACACAGCCGTCAATCTCGCCGAATTGCCCCGCGCTCCTCCAACAGCACCCCAAACAATGTCCCAAAACAGCACCTGCACCAGCACCTCAAACTGCATGCCCCCTAGCGCCCAGCCGTCAATCTCGCAAATCACGTTCTTCTATGTTCTTCTCTTTATTAGAAGTTAGAGCCCCAACAGCTTTCAATATCTGGGGAAATATAATAATATTTTGCACGTGGATGGTCCGAGATTCGGAGAATCGCCAGGCGCTGGGCATCATAGAGACGGACGCCCTGCCGCTTGTCATCGACGCGGACTACGTGGAGGCCAAGTCGTCTCGGGCCCCGAAGCGACTTCACTTTGCAAAAAATCGCCAGGGTCTAGTCTGAAGCCCTGAGTTGAGCCGAATGGTCGGTGAAGGGAAAATAGACCGGAAGTGGGCCCAATGGGTGCGCAATGATCGAGCGAATGACTCGAGTTGCTTGGCTCAGCCGCACAGACGCAGCTGCTTGGCTCTTGAAACGTGAACAGTCATTCCTTACAGGAAAACACTCACGTGCTAGCGACGCCGGACAAAAACAGATATGTTTCACACTGACTCCCTCAATTGCAGATGTGGGCACTTGTTTTTGCCACTTCCTCCAAGTCAAGAACAACCGCATTCATACAGTCAACCAATGGGCAGAGATGATGTCACGAGGAAAGAGTGAAGAAGCCATAGTAAGAAGACAGGCCATCAGCCCAAAGAGCCCCCCCGGGGTTTCGATGATATCAGCTTCATGATCTCGCTGGACCGCGCATTGGTGGCATGGGCCTCAGGCTGTCCAAGTCCATATGGCCATGGGTCAAAATCCAAATACCCCCAGTGAACATCCCAATGCCCACTAAAATAGACTAATATCGGTGGTGCACCTACCCCAAAATGGTACCTGTTCACCGCCCAAGTGTGAAAGGGGAGAGCGCAGGGACCAAGAATTGAGGGTTGCAAGCCCCAAGTTCCCGTGAGGACACCAGGTTCATAGAACTATGTGGACATGTGAGGTCACCGCTTCTCAAGACCTGCCATGTGCATGTAACCGCAGCACGGGAAGAATCAACTTGTCACCATTCCACTGAACATGAAGTTTTGTCCAAAAACATTTGCCAAAGCGGGGAACACTTTCTTTGGAGCCCTGAGAGAACATACCTGACCAGCCATCTTCCACTCCCTATGTTCCCAGTGGAATATGAATCGCAGCATCTCAGGTGAGCCATAATCAAAACCTGGGTAAGTGAAGGTTAGTAAGGGACAGTCGGAAAGTCCCAGCCAGAATCAGTTGCGGCCGCCTTTGCAGTTCTTTACATTGGTTTGGGTGCAACATTTTAATACCGGGTTTTGATTGTGACTCAGGTACTGCTGGCTGCAGTGGCGCTTCAGGCGCTGCTCTCCCTGCGAAGAGGGAATGAGGTTTGGCGGAGCAACTGCGCCGCAGAGCTCTCTCTGGCGCCGTGGCGGAAATTTTGGCGTTGCAGAGATCGGGTCCATTTGGGGAGTTTAGTCCATGTTTCCATTTGCCAGGATTCCATTTGGGGTACCTCTTTTTGACCGGCCCACACCCATTTCTCAGGTTGGTCTGAGACATGTTTGGGCGAAGCTTGCTCTGGTCTGATGGGCGTTTTTCAGACATGTTGTCACCAGGAGGTAGCTCTGAAACATGTTTGGGCGAAGCTTGCATAGGTCTCGTTCTTTTGGATATGATCTGCCAAGAAAGTTTTTGTATGGAACATGCTTGGGCAAAGCTGATTTACAGAGATGTTCTTTCTGGTCATAGTCATCTTATTTCAATCCTTGCTGGTGTGTGTCAAAAGGACGGCGTACTGGCGGCTTTTTTCAGGACGGCGATCGGCCAGCAGGAAGGTTGTGGCCGAAAAACACGCCCCCCGTAAATAAACAGCCAATTTACGTTTATGTGGACCGTTTAGTGCTCTGCTTGTTAGCAAGAATCCAACATTTGCTTTTCTACGGATTTCCAAAAACAGGATAAGTCCCAAGGCTGAACAATGTGAACTCAAGATCCATCAGTCACGAAGACCGGACTTGCGTTGAAGATGAAGCGCAATTTGAAAGACCTGACGGTTTTAGTTCTCAAGATGCTCCGGCACCCTGCCATGTTTGCCGGCACAGCATCCCAAAGCCGAAGTTTAGAACCGTTTGGTTTGCCTGACTTGTTCATTTCCTTCCCCTTTCGCGAGCTCTTAGGCAGGGTCGCTGCTTCAGCTGCAGCCGGCCAGCGAGGAGCCAGTTGCAAGTTCTGGCCATGGGAAAGGATGCTGCTGATTGGTTCGAAAAAAGCCACACCAAGAAGGATACCCACACGCCGTGCATCTGGGTTGGGGTTAACACCAAATTGCAAATAAAAAATGAAGGGAATTGCAGAACAGTTGTACAATTTGCCCACCCCTGATATGGACAAAGGGCTAGAACATACCAAACATGTTTGCTCAGGGTGAACGTGTCCTACTTAATTAGCGCTGGCAGGAATCAAGTCAAAACTGGTTCCAAACCGAGTCCATACAGTTCTGGATCACAAACTAATAATAAACCAATTGAAAGCGATACTGCATAGCACCTACTCTACGACTGATTACTTGGCAAGCCCGATTCCGAGTGCCACCCCCATTGCTTTTAGCCAAATTACCAAACGGCTGGCTTCAACCAGAAAAAACAAACATCAACCTCTTGAAGTTGCTTCTGTTCCAAATCATTCCCAAGACCTTGGCCAAGACACAAAGCTCAGCGCTTCACGCAGGATGTTTTTCCATTTCGAGTTCATTCGCAAATGCATTTGTCCGCAAGGAGCCGCTGCTGCCGTCTGCAATGGCAGCCTTGGAGGAGCGCAAGCGCCTGGTGGAAGGTGGGGCCGCCTACGGTTCGATGTTGGAGCAGTGGCGCTACAGTGCGATCCCCATGCTCAGAATTGGATGTTGCTTTGGAGCATGTGCCGCAAGACAAAGGATATGAATGGCGATGAAGCCTCCCAGTGGTGACTTAAAGCAAACACGCGACATGAAGATGACGTACGTCATGCGACCACATGTTGCCCGGCGTCATTTGCAGCTCTCCGAGCCATGAGGCCAAATCGCCGAGTACGACGAGATGCATTGGCTCCAGCGGGCCTTGTACGATACCGGCTCCTTCCAGGCTCCGGCAACTGGGACGAATCCGTCGGATTTCAAGAATTCTGGCAGGCGAATCTGAGTCCAATCAGTTGAAGTTCGTTGGAAACATGGCGTTAAAACCTTCTCTGGGAGTGGAATCTGAGTCCAATCAGTCGAAGCTCCGTCGGGGGATGAGCTTCTCGCCACATCCGCAGGAACTGGTGGACAGGGGTGGTATTTCCGCGTCCAGCCACACTTAAATCAAACAAAGCGGCAAGCTGAAGGAACTTGGCCCCTGGCCCCACGTCGTCAAGTCTGAGAGGGAAATCTCAAGGGAAGAAGCAAGTGGATCAAATCAGGATTCCGAACATGGACACACTGTCAGTGCGCGCTTGTGCAACCTTGCTTTTCGTTGTCCTCAAATTTGTCCTCCTTTGTCCTCCTGATGCCCTTCATGTGCAGTATTCCCGTGGTTTCGGGCATAGCACTGGTCCATCGGTCCTGTTCCAGTCGGCTCGCGAGGCGCATGCCGACTGGCTGAAGGCTTGGAGACAAGCCGCCTGGCTTGAAGGTTTCCCGGCGCGCTGGCTGTGTTGGCCTTTCGGACTTGGCCCAGGGAAGTCGTAGCTCGCAGAGTCTGGCGAACAATGTGGGCACAAGCCGGATATCTGACGCGTGTGAATGGCTTGTGAGTCCCCCCACGACTACCCACAGCAGGACTATTGCATCTGATTCTGGGAGATGAAGGGCTTTCGGGCAACAAGCAAAAGCTCCCAGGAATGGGCGGAGAAGTTAAAGGCCAAAGCCGTCAAATCCGTCAAGGCCGTCAAGAGAGGCGGGGATGGAGAGACGGGGAGGGCTTGGTGTCAAGTTGTGCCAGGTCTCAAGTGCAAAGTTGAGTTTTGCTCACGCACGGGAGTGCATTTTCAGGACCACATTTGTTGAATTGCAGGTGCATGGGGTGATCTTGCGACGACCCGCGCCATGTATAATTCGCCTTGGTAACTGCCAGTCAGGCAAACAATGTTCGATCTGTAGGATGGACAACTCACCAAGTCGCACACTGAAGGCTGGGGAATTGGACACCCTTGATTACTTTGAACCCTCCGAGCTGGCCGACGACATAGCAGATCTAGGGAGCCACGTGGACCACGCGGGTCATGTGTGAAGCTTGGCCTCTAGACGCCTACAGAACAACTGCAACTGGGAGAGTCTAAAAATAGGGAATGGCTTTGTTGGCTGACTTGTTAGGCTTTGGGAGAGGGTCTCGATATTCCCCGGTTTTAAACGCTTGGCCAAAGTTTGCTTTCGGTGGTTTGCAAGGCGCCCCCGAGGGCATCGAAGCCCCTAGCCTGAACTTGCCGGCGGTGGAGCGGGCCAAGGCCGATCAGAACGATGGCTCCATGGCTCCATGGCTCCTGTTGGGCGAAAATATGTGCGTTTTTGCAAGGGAATCTGGCCACACCTTGGTGAGAGAAGCCTGAGATACGCATTGCCGGCTCGGCCTGACCTCCAGCCAAAGTTGCCATCACTGAAGAGAAGCGTGGAATTCGGCTGATGCTAGAGTGGCTTCTTAAGCGATCGATCCCCATAATCCCTATTAGTTTGACCGCCTTTGATTTCGTGCCCGTTCTCCTTCCAACTTTACGGTTTGCTTGTCATTTGCTCGAAGCAGCTCTGGGGACCAGCAGCATTTCGGGCGGCCAGTTTGCACCGTCAGTCTGTGGCCAGGAGGTGCTGGATCGAGGGGGCAACGACTGGAAGGAGGCAGGGGCTGAGGGGACCGTTCTTCTCTTCGTCCCCGCATCGAATTCAGTCCTTCCCCCGTCCCTTCTGGACTACGCCGTGACTGTTTACATACTACCTTCTTCGAGATGGTACCTGATGGCACATCAGACTCTGAGCACAGCCACTTTTGCCACTCTTCTTCCGTGAGTTTCCATCCAAGTTGCCTTCCAAGCGCCTTGGATCAACATCTCGGATTGGACCCTGTTTGTTCAGTGAACCGTTTGGGCAGCGATCCGTGTGGAACCACAGATCTGGCGCGCCGAAGCCGTCCCGGTCCCGCCCAAGGCGGGCATGGACGCGGTGGTGGAGGAGGTCTTGCACCTCATGGAGGCCGAGGCCGACAACGCCCGGCCCACGGTGGGTTTGGACCTGCGAAAGCGGGGGTTGAAACGAGACCTAAAATGGTGTTCGCCCATTTCGGGGACCCTAAAATGGTGTAGACCATGTTCAGGCCAGTGCGTTTCAGACCTAAAATGGTGAGGGGTTTCAAGTTTGGGAGAAATCCGTCCCATCAATCTTTGGCTTTTGGGCCCAGAAAGAAGGCCAGGGGTCGACAGAAACCGGCTCCCCGTCAAGGAGCTAGGAAGCAAGTACACACCCCACAGACGGTGGAGATTGTAATTTCGCCCCACTGTAAACCACAAAGCCGGGCATGTCGAATTTGCCCGGATCCCTGCTTACCATCAGTTTGTCTCATTCCATGCCTCGCAGTCCATGTCCATCTTGGATCAGCTTAGCTCGTGGCCTCGACTCAATCGACTGGAACCTCTGTCTTTGACCGCCCAGGAAGAAAACAGAAATCGCCGACATCTCCTGGGAGTTCTCGTCTGGTGGCAAGTTGGTGGGTGCACCAAGTCAAAGCTGAGGCCTTTGTGCAGGAGCGCGGCTGCGAGTCCTTGCGGAGCGCTCAGCTGCGATTCTTGTGGCGTATTGTTTGGCACGACCCGTCTTTCTGAAAGGCATGGTCAACCCAGCCTAACAAAGTGCAGCACCGAACATCAAACAGCTTACCCAAGATGAACAAGAAAGAACAAAGACCGACCATCAAACAGCATACCCAAGATGAGGAAAAAAAGCAAGATGCAAGAAGCTTATCCAGAATGCGAAGAAGTTGAAGTGGCCCAAAATCAGGAGGCCCCACCCAAAACCAGCAGATCAGACACGAGAGACCGAGCGCCTTGAGGCGGTACATGGCAGTGGACGAGGAGAGCCGACTGGCCGTGGGCCAGGGCATCTCCACCGTGCTGAAGCCTGGGCCTCACTGGGTTCGCTGACATGCGGCTTCGAAGTCACACGTCGTCCGCAGAAAGAAAGTCCTTGCAGATGTGGCTGTGGGTCAAAACCAATGGGATCCCATTTTGGGGTAGGTGCACCACCCATGCTCACACCCCCCTGAAGAATTCGGGAATTGACGTGTTCTGTGTAGATCGTGACCTGTGCTTGGCCGTTCCGTCCTCCCACTTAGATCTAATCATACAATGGTATATTGCGCACAGCTGGAAGCACAATGAAACTGCAGCGACTTGACGTATGTTGACCTTGCTGGAGAGGCAGCTGTCAGGTTGATCCATGTTGCATTTTCTGGAGCTGAGGGGCTCGCTTGAAAAGGGGCGTCCGGTATACGATAAACATTTGGACATGGAGATTGATGGATTGGTTGCATCACGAGGGCGCATAAATCAACATAACTTCTGCGGGTTCTCACACCTGCAGGTGATTGTTGTTTGTGCTTGTGTGTGTGTTTTTCGCCCAGGTCCATGGAACTCAACGAGAATTCCTCAGAGGTCCAGGGCTACTGCTGCGGCACTCTGGCACCTCGCCCAGGTGAGTCACAAGTAGATTTCGAGGAGCTCGATGACGGAAGCTTCGACCTGTCCCGATGTATGTCTTAGCTACTGGATCTCATCAGCAACAGCACATGTCATCGGAGTCTCAGCTATCAGCATCACATAGTTGAATCGCGGTGTTGGTTTGGGGCCATCTTTTTGCCATGTGTAAATCTTGCTTCCCGTTGTTGTCCAACTTGAGGAAACGGGCCAAAATACAGATAATGTCAATCACCAGCAGCAAACGGTCAACAGCATACAGTTGCGGGCCATCACAAAGCCAACGGATTGCATCCGCATTGATCAGATATGACAGCGAGCCCCACGCGTCTTGCGGGATCTCGCTAGGTGCATCTTGCTGCGACGCCCTCAACGCGACACAGCATCATCGAGCAGAATGGCGTGGAGGCGGATGCCTAAAAAGCGCAGGGGGGAAGATGGGAATGGCTTTAAAGGGGTCATCCCCGTCTTTCCCAAGAACAAGCAAGCAAAGGGGTGGGAGGCCATTTTTGGCTTCAAAGGGGTCATCAACATATTGCCCAAGAACGAGCAAGAAAAGGGATGGCACGTTGTGCGGTTCTCCACAGGGCGAGGATCATGGAGGCAGTTCCAGGGCATGTCTTAGTCTTAGACCTTAGCACTGGAATAGGTGCCGAGACAGTTCTCGTGCTGCTTTGAGTAGGCATGTTTGCTTGTCATGATGGAATGTTCAAATATCGGGAAGCGACATCATCCACGGAGGTATGGAAGGACCCCTCGAAGTGAGAATACGTGCTAGGCCGACGGCCTCGGCATTCCAAATAGGGAAGAGCTCCAAGCAGGTGCCAGGTGTTGGCATATCTGAATCTGCTACCAGCAAACTGGACCGAGGGCCCCGAACAAGCAAACCCCATTGTATCCAAAATAAGAGCAGCAAGCGCCGTGTGCATGGGCCTGCGCCGTTTCTTCCAGCTGGCTTCTGTACCTAACAACGACATCTCAGAAGCAACGCTCGCATACGGTTCAAAACTGGGAACTGCGTCGTGCGGCCATTGCTGTGCACTTTTGCGGGTTCTATGCACACCTCGGGGTCCTTTCACAAGTTGCTGATGGTGAAATCCAACGCACCCTGGCAAAGTGCTGCCGCAACGCACCCGAATACTCTGAGCCGCTGTTGATTGCTCAGCTATGTACTGAACGGGCAATCTTGTCAGAGTCTCTGCTTCTCCAAATCGATGAGTATCAGTTTCGAGCAGATGACAATCGCTGATTTTTGCCATGTGGTCAGACCTTCGGAAGGTTGAATCCAAGAATTTGACACCTGGACCTTTTAAAGATTCCCTGGGATTTCCCATCCACACTCCACAGAAATGCCGCTCAAGGCATCCAGGCTGGAAATGGGAATGGGAAGCCGCGCCTTGCTCGTGACTTCCGGCAAATTGGAAGGTGATCCTCCGGGCCATGAGCCTCCACCCGGGCGCCTTGGAGTCGCGTTCGGCTCGGCTCGGAGGTTTCGGGTTTTTGGGAGCCAAGGGGGCCGAGGCCAATGAGTTTGAAGGGGAGATTCATCTTCTTCATGGCGTTTTTTTTTTTCGAGAGGTCCCTGTTTCTACGTTGAGTGTGTGTGTGTGTGTGTTTTGTTCTTTTTCCTTTATTTTTCAGAGAGGTTCCCATGTTCCTCTTGGCAAAAAGGTCTCAATGAGCCGATTGATGCTTGGAGAAGCTTCCTGTCGAAGGACGGTTGTGCCTTATGATCAGACACCGGCCACTGGATGCGTGAGCCTGCCTACCATGCGTGTTGGTTTTAATCACCCTGGATGCCAATTCCATTTAGATCCATGATGCTTGCGATATTTTTTGATGATCAATGCATTGATTGAAAGTGTGGCTTGCTTGTGCCAAAACTGTGTTTCGTGAGCTTTTGAGGATGTTACGTTCGCTGCAGGCGCTTTGGATTCTGCTGGATCTCGCTTGGATGTAGCACACGCTTCACTCATTTCGTAATTGATCAAGCCGCTTGTTTGGTATGCATTGAAAACAGCACCAACCAGTCCAAGGAGAAGCCCAAATTCGCAAAGAGCAAGCAGAGCGTTTGAGCAGCGCCCGAAACCCGATGTGGCCATCTAGATTGTGGAGAGGCCCATGTAAGCCTTTTTTTCGGCTTTGGTTGGACTAGCAGTCAATGGGCTTAGGGTGCTAGGCACACGAGATGCTCCGAATTGGGCACGTCAAGGGCCGGTGCCGCCGATCTCGCACTCAAGTTTTGCTTGTGGGATGGGCCAATGTTCTAAAAGTTCGGACCCCGCCTCTTGGGGCTACTAACGAGTTCCAACCAACCGAAGCGTTGGAGACCAACCCATCCGATTTCCGGCCGAGGCAGCGCCTTTGTGCACTTCAAGGCCTGCGCAGCTTTAGCCGCTCGGCGTACACTCGGAGGTGTCCAACGCCGGCTGCTTCCCGAATCCATCCGAAGAGACCCCCAGCCGAACCGCAGCAGAATGCACAAAGCCTTGTGCTGGTTGGGATCGGTTGGGTCCCTCGTGTTGCCGTTCCTCGATGCCGGATGCGACCTCGAGGCCAACTTGGCGGCCACGGGGTTCGAGCAACGGCAGCTGGGGGCCAAGGGCAGCTCCGCGGCGCTGGTGCGGAGCCTCCGCGACCACCTGCCCGGAGACCCGTGCAGAGACCTGGGCTTGGCCGGCCTGGGTTCTTTGTCTTGCCGCTTTTGTGGTTTTGTGTTGCTCGGAGTGTGTTTGTTTTTTTTTGTTTTCTGAGCACCCAAAGGTGAGTTTCTTTCCTTGGGGCCAGAAGAATCACGCCCAGAAGTAGCCGGGGCCAGAGGGAAGCGGCTACAGTTGCGCCTGTGCGTTTCCAGAGCGTGGGACTTGGGATCAAATAACACTTTTGGGCGTCCGCCTGAGGCATGACCTCTCTGTGCTGCAATACTGCCTGGGTGCCGTGCACAACTTGGCCAGCGACCGCGAGAATCAGGCCAAAGCCTGAAAGCCCATGTTGGGCCATCTGATGGGATAGGCATCAAAAAAAACTTATTAGGCATCAACAAAAAACTTATCAGGCATCAAACAAAACTTATTAGGCATCAAAAAAAAACTTATGCTCATTCCTATGGGGGGAAGGAAGGAAGGAAGGAAGGAAGGAAGGAAGGAAGGAAGGAAGGAAGGAAGGAAGGAAGGAAGGAAGGAAGGAAGGAAGGAAGGAAGGAAGGAAGGAAGGAAGGACCCCCCCCCAACCACCCCGCTGATTTGTAGAAGGTTGACAGTGATTAACGCACCCTTTGCTGAATCATCACTTCTTCGAGCATCATGGGGGGGGGCTGCCGCTCCCCCGCTGATTTTCAGAATGTTTGCAGAGATTACCGCACCCTTTGCTGAATCATCACTTCTTCGATCATCACCACCCTTTGTTGAATCATCACTTCTTCGAACATCATGGGGGGGGCTGCCGCCCCCCCCAACCCCCCGCTGATTTAATGCTGCGCCTGCGTCAAACTCTGCACCGTATTGCGAAAGTGCTGCGCCTGCCGCGAAATTGGTACCTCTTGCAAAAGTGCTGCCCCTGCGGGGCTGCCGCCCCCCCCAACCCCCCCGCTGATTTAATGCTGCGCCTGCGTCAAACTCTGCACCGTACCTTGCGAAAGTGCTGCGCCTGCTGCGAAATTGGCACCTCTTGCGAAAGTGCTGCGCCTGCCGCGAAATCTGGACCGCACCTTGCGAAAGTCCTGCATTTGCCGCGAATCTGTCCCTGACCTTGCAAAAGTGCTGCGCCTGCTGCGAAATCTGGCTGACCTTCCGAAAGTATTGCGCCTGCCACGAAATCTGTACCTGACCTTGCGAAAGTGCTGCGCCTGCCGCGAAATCTGCTGCCGCGAAATCTGTACCTGACCAGCGAAAGCATTGCGCCTACCTTGCGAAAGTGCCGCGCGTGCCACGAAATCTGTACCTGACCTTGCGAAAGTGCTTCCTGAAATGAATAGTGTTTTTTGATGCCTATAAAGTTTTGTTTGATCCTCTGATTTTTCATTTTTAATAGTAAATCAATGAGCATAAGTTTTTTTTGATGCCTACCTAGGGCTTCAACAACCTGTAAAAATGTCGTACCCTGACTAAAGCATCGTGTTTTTCTCGATTTTCTGAAAACATCGTGTTTTCAGGAAAAACGTCGTGTTTTTGTTAAAACCCCTTAAAAATGGGCTTCTGAGGCCAAACACTCATTTGGAGCAAAGGGTCAAAGGCAAGGGTCGGGAGTGGATTCACACAGACATCACCCATTAAGATTTCAACTGAGGGCAACGCTCTATACTGAGTATGCTTCAAATTCTAAGGACCACATTGATGAGCCTGACAGCCAGGGTGTGCAGCTGGCTTCAGTCTTGAAGTACCTTTCACAGCAACAGGCACCTGAAGACTGGCGCCAGGTCATACCGAACCAGTTTGAAGGGGGTGCTGGAATCCGAAAGCTCCTTTTGGTGCAAAACAAGACCAGGTGACACTTTTGAGATTGTTTTTATCAATTTTGAGTTTTTTTTAGCAAATGGGGCGGGATCCTGGCGGCTAACCGCAGAAACCCGCAGAAAACCCGTAGAAACCCATAGAAAACCCGTAGAAACCCGTAGAAAGCCCGCAGCCCCAACCGAAAACATCGTGTTTTTGGAAAACATCGTGTTTTCTAACCCGTAGCTAAACCGTGGAGAACCCGTAGTAAAGCGTGGCAAAGCGTGGAAATTCTATGGGTTTTTCGGGTTCAACCACGAATGCGCTAATTCGAGAATGTTGCTGGAAAACAACGAAGTCGTGAGCAAAAGCACGGTCTTTGCTTGAGCTTGCGCGCTGTTCGAAGCCAGCACGCCCTCATCATGGCACTGCTGCTTGACAAGTGTCATAAAACCGTGGTACTTTTGACTATTTGGGTCCCCGGCCTCCTTCTTTCAGGTTGGAGTTGCGAAAGACGAGTGGCGAATGCGAAGCTGATTTCGTTGCGAGTGCAAAAGGGGAGGGCGATGGGAGATTCTGAGGTTGAGATGATGCTTTTGAGATCTTTTGAGAACGGATGACGAGTTGAAGGAATGTATGGGAAACTGCTTGAAATCGAAAATGCGGTGTTTCCCGAAAACATCGTGCTTTCCAAAAAACATCGTGTTTTTTGTAGGTATGACATTTTCATCGGTTTTTGAGGCTCCTGGTAATAAGCTTTTTTTGATCTTTAGAAATAAGTTTTTTTTGATGCCTAAAAAAAATAATAATCCCTCACCCCCATCTGATGGCTGCTTCTGGCGTTTTCTGGATGGATATTGAGAGCAACGGCTGCTTCCCGAAGGTGAACCCTGCCTAAAGGGTATGAACCCAAACGAAAGGGGGGGCCACTTGGACACACGCGTTGCCCCTTTGGAGACACCGCAAGCACGCTTCGGAGCAGGCAGCACTTCGGACTGCTGGTGCTGTGCGAGCCCTCAGAGATGTGCCGGGCTCAGGGCAGGAAGTGCCGGGCATGTGACCCTTGGCATTCGGCCATTCAGGCAGTGCGGCTGCATCCACACGTCAGCGAGGTGCAGAAGGCAGGTAGAGATTCCTCGAAGGGGACACGCCGTTTCAAGACTTCCAAAACCTGTCCGTTCATCGTTGGAAAGAAGGGATCATCAGCTCAAAGCCGGACGTTCCACCGGATGTTTTGCGCTCATTGGATCCTGTTGGCTAGCTGGCCAAGTCGACAGGTTGGCAAAAAGACCATCAAGCTGCTGAAAGCTCGGGAGCACTCTGAGACAGAGACCGATTTGCAAGCGGTGTAGTGAGTCGCCACAGAAACAGCCCGTCCAAGTCCGAACCCCGGAGTATGTTGGAGCATTCCTTGGACTTTGGGTGCGATTCAGGTCACATCTCGGCTGTTTCTGCTCAGCGAGTAGCTGGAAGGTGTTGCCAGAGATGGCCCATGCACGGTTCCACACCAGCCCCTGTTTGATGGTTGCAAATGGGAAAGCGCGGTAAGCCGGCCATACCGAGGGGTTTGGGAGAAGAGAGCCCTTGACCCACAGCAAAATACGTGGCAAATGGGTTTTCATCCACCCCAAAACGGAGCCTTAGGTTATGCCCCATGGCCATATGACAGCTGGTGCGGGGACTGGTTGGATGTCAAACCTTCCGCCGGATGCAGCACGGCGCGCTAGCAGGGCAAAGGGCTCTCTGTTCGCTGCCGCCGGAAAATGCGTGTCGTACCGCATAAATCAACTGAAGGTAAAGGGGGTTGTCCCGAACAGAGCCCAACATGGCCCTGTTGATTTCTGTTCCACCGGTCAGTGCTGGCCACTGGTGCAGTTGGGCGACTGGTGGCTGCCCAGTTCAGCCCTGCCCGGCCAGAAAACCTTCAACGCCATGGTCGAGGGCGCCTCGCGTGAGAAGGCGGGGCTAGAAATTCGCGCGGTTGCAGCAAGCATCGGTGACAAACAGGAGACGTGGGCGACTCGGGCGACACTTTGTGGATTGTGAAGCCTTGTTCTGATTACTAGGCTATAGGATTGAGTTGTGAATCTTTGTTAGGATTACCTACTATCATTATCACTCGTGTTATTGTCATCATGGTTATTATGTTCATTATTCCGGCAGCTTCGTTTGCAGCCAAGTGGCAAACCACCGATCCAGCAAGCGAAAGTCTACCGTATCGCAGCTCAGAAGCCAAAGCCAGGGGTCGCCAGGGTTGAGCATGCATTTGCGTGACGCTGGGCGTTCCACAACGTTCATTGCTAATACCGACTTGGTATGAGAAGACACGCGTCAGTTTACCTGTGAGTAAAAGTGTCGCAACCAACAGGGTGTGTGTGTGTGTGTGGGTGCGTGCGTGCGTGCGTGCGTGCGTGCGTGCGTGCGTGCGTGCGTGCGTGCGCGTGTGCGCGCGTGCGTGCGGGTGCGTGCGGGTGCGTGCGGGTGCGGGTGCGTGCGGGTGCGTGCGGGTGCGTGCGGGTGCGTGCGGGTGCGTGCGGGTGCGTGCGCGCGTGCACGCGCGCTTGCGTGCGCCTGTGTCTGTGTTTGTGTCTCTGTGTGTCTGTGTGTCTGCGTGCCTGTGTGTCTGTGTGTCTGTGTGTCTCTCTGTGTCTCTCTGTGTCTCTCTGTGTCTCTCTGTGTCTCTCTGTGTCTCTCTGTGTGTCTCTGTGTGTCTCTGTGTGTCTCTGTGTGTCTCTGTGTCTCTCTGTGTCTCTCTGTGTCTCTCTGTGTCTCTCTGTGTCTCTCTGTGTCTCTCTGTGTGTCTCTGTCTCTCTCTGTGTCTCTGTCTCTCTCTGTGTCTCTGTCTCTCTCTGTGTCTCTGTCTCTCTCTGTGTGTCTCTCTGTGTGTCTCTCTGTGTGTCTCTCTGTGTGTCTCTCTGTGTGTCTCTCTCTGTGTCTCTCTCTGTGTCTCTCCCTGTGTCTCTCTCTGTGTCTCTCTCTGTGTCTCTCCCTGTGTCTCTCCCTGTGTCTCTCTCTGTGTCTCTCTCTCTCTGTGTCTCTCTGTGTCTCTCTCTGTGTGTGTGTCTCTCTGTGTGTGTCTGTCTGTGTCTGTTTGTGTCTCTCTGTGTCTGTCTCTCTCTGTGTGTCTGTCTCTGTGTCTCTCTCTGTGTCTCTCTCTGTGTCTCTCTCTCTCTCTGTGTCTCTCTCTCTGTGTCTCTCTCTCTGTGTCTCTCTTTCTGTGTCTCTGTGTGTCTCTCTGTGTCTCTCTGTGTGTCTCTCTGTGTCTCTCTCTGTGTCTCTCTCTGTGTCTCTCTCTGTGTCTCTCGCTGTTTTTTTTCTGTGTCTCTCTCTGTGTGTCTCTCTCTGTGTCTCTCTCTGTGTCTCTCTCTGTGTCTCTCTCTGTGTCTCTCTCTGTGTCTCTCTCTGTGTCTCTCTGTGTCTCTCTCTGTGTCTCTCTCTGTGTCTCTCTCTGTGTCTCTCTCTGTGTCTCTCTCTGTGTCTCTCTCTGTGTCTCTCTCTGTGTCTCTCTCTGTGTCTCTCTCTGTGTCTCTCTCTGTGTCTCTCTCTGTGTCTCTCTCTGTGTCTCTCTCTGTGTCTCTCTCTGTGTCTCTCTCTGTGTCTCTCTCTGTGTCTCTCTGTGTGTCTGTGTCTGTCTGTGTGTCTGTGTCTGTCTGTCTTTGTGTTGTCTGTCTGTGTTGTTTGTCTGTGTTCTGTGTTGTCTGTCTGTCTGTCTGTCTGTCTGTCTGTCTGTCTGTCTGTCTGTCTGTCTGTCTGTCTGTCTGTCTGTCTGTCTGTCTGTCTGTCTGTCTGTGTGTCTGTCTGTC